ATTGGATTGCCTTGTTTCTGAAGTGGTCATGACTCATGACCTGACCACGTCTGTTCAGATCAAGATGGGCACAAATTTGGTATACCAACCTGCTGCACTGCTCTCTCGTCTGAGCACTGTTTGCAGCCTCTATACTCTGAGGGCAAGGCTGGCAATATTGAAAGGAAAGCAAGTGTTTACGCCAATCTGTGAGTTGCCTTTTTAAATAAAACAACAATAAACAATACGATTGGAATTTAAATTATGCCAAAATGAACACTAGTACAGAAGGATGGAAGAATGGATGTATCAGCAGGGCTTTTTTTCCATTCGTGGGATGTGGGTATCACTGGCTTAGCCAGCAGTTATTGAACATTCCCAATTGCCTTAAGAACAGCAAGGTGCTTTCTTAAACCGTTGCAATCCATGTGATGAAGGTACACCCATTGTGCTGCTGGTATGCCCACAGTTCCAGCATTTTGTCTCTGTGACAATGAAGGAACAGTGATATAGTTCCAAGCCAGGATTGTGTATAACTTGGAGGGAAACTTGCTGATGGCATTGTTCCCATACATCTGCTGAACTTATCTGTAGAGGTCGCGAGCTACCAAGGTGCTGCCTACAGAACTTTGGTGAGTTGTTGCATTGCTTCTTTAGACGGCACAAACAGGCAGCCAGAAGCTCTCATGGATCACCTTCAAACAGGAGTGGGAGGTGATGGCATGGAAGGGATTCATGTCTCAAGATCCTGGCAGCACAGCTGCAAATGTCTGTTGATCTCACATCAGTGTTCACGGTCAGTAAATGCATCTTCTTATGACATCTGCTCCAGAATACCAGCCTCCCCTTTTGTTTAATGCATCATATTCTCATCAGTCAGCTAATGGCACCTCCTTGGTTTTCATTCATGTATAACAATCAGACATGCTCATACACTGCTCCAAGCATCACACCTACATAACTCCAGCAACTCAAGTGATACCAGGCGCATTATCCATACTTAGTGCCACACAACCATTCTGGCAGGACAAGGTGGTATACAATAGAAAGCAGTAGAACAGAACCAGAAAGAGGACACCTGCATTTGCTGAGCTATACTGAGGAGATAGCTCTCAACATAATAGTGCTGGGCACAGCCCATGGCATTTAGCCACACTGAGAACACAGAGGATGATTCCATGTTCCTCCCTTATGCCACATCTCAACTTCCAGCACGAATACCAGCGGCTGCACATAGCCAAGAGGGTCGTAGGGAGTTGGGAACAGCACAAAGTGAGTCTTTTAGACACAAGTGACTGGCAGCCAAGCTAAGGGTAAAGAATCATTCCTTTGCCAATTAATCAGAGGGCAAGATCATAGGGGAGTATTACTGCAGAGAACTCAGATGAGGAACTCGGTGAGGCAGCAAATAGGACAGTACGGAATGAACACGCACAAGTGGATGCTGTTTTGAAAGTGACCGGACACAGTGGTGGGGCAAAATCTGGCTACAACTTGGCAGAGGGTATGGCACTGAGTTTGCAATCATCACAACCTCTGCTCCAACTCATTGCTGTGCTGCAGGTCTGGAGGCACTGGCTCAATGTCTTCCATATCTGTTGCAGACTTTGTGCAGACAAGTCACCAACTTCTCCGCCCTCCACCCAAACCCTCAAGGATGCAAGAACATTTTGACAAATTGAACAGTGCATTAAAATGCATCAAAATACTTCAGAGTACTTTCTAAGACTGCACAAGAAAAAAATTCCAAACCATTAGCTGACAAGCAATTTGGATGTCTGGCCCTTGAAATAACGCTTGAATGGGGCCCAACTTACAGCTTCATGCTTGCTATTTGTACCGAAAACAACAAAGAGGTTCCTCCACATTTGTTGCCAAATTTGGAACACACAGCCAGCTCAGCTGTGAGATGTCAGGACACCAATGATTCCGATGCACGAAGGGGATGCAAAGGTAGGCTTGCAAACCACTGTCGAGCCTTATGTCTAAGGAAAGGAGTTCTCTGAAACCAACATTCTAAATTTTTGAAATGGAGTTCAGTCCTGAATTATTTTTGCAAGTGCACTATTTTCATAGAGAAGTGGTTGGGCAGCAGCAATAGCAAATCAATATCTTAATTTCCAGTCCTGGATCCCTCACTTCATGCCAGAGTTGTTGTGCTCACATATATTCAACTTCAGTCATATAAGGCAATACATAATATTATTTCTTATTTAAAAATTATGGGCACTGTGATCAGGATTCAGCAGCTAATCATCTCTATCAGGACATGAAACCTGTAATTTAAATTTACAACTCATAATTTCAAGTGGTCAAAATCACAGGATTATATCTTTTGGATGACAGGCCCATTCCCAGCTTTGATGCCACAAATGAATTGGAAAGTTCCAATCTCATAAAACATTGAATATAATTTTCTATTCTTTTCTCTAAATATGATTCTTAGTTTGTGTGTGTCCTAACATCCCCTTCAGTTCAACTGTTAATAATCTGATACTCAGTAGGAAATGGCGACAACGGTATCTGAACATCATGAACCATGTACACTTTCTCCAATTGGTTCAACATGTGACTAAAATCAGCTGTGACCTCTGAACAACCTGCACCAAGTGAATAGCCAAGAATACCCATGTTTCAAGGGACTTGCAGGGTATCACATCCTAAACTAATCTCATTTGCCTGCATTGTCAGTATCGCTCTATTCCCTTCCTGTTCTTTTGTCTGTAATGTGAGCAGAGTTCGAAAATTCATAACTCATTTCCCCAATACTCATGAGGAATATACATTTATAACTTAATTCCGGTGTTGTGGTATGAAAGATTGCCCATTATACCCAACAGTATTGCTTGTCCGTTTCCATTTCATGTGTCCTTCTCATTTATAATAAACCATATCACCAGATCTGAAATCTCCACCAGACAGACTGGAACGTTCTCCTAATTTCTTCTGATGCTTCAACTTTAATGAACATTTTTCTACCAGCATATAACACACTTAGAGCTGTTTGTCATTCCTTCTACTGCTAGGAGACCATCATGTAGTGTTGAAAGTGATTTTGGATTCCAACTGCATATTAATTACAGGGTTCACTGTGCGCATCTCTCAGGTCCATGTGTGGCAGTGACTTCTCAAAGCAGAAACCAAAACATCAGCACAAAACCTCCCACAGGGACACAGCCATGCAGCTAAGACGGAGCACTGCCCCCATTTGCAACGTATAGATCGGCTGATCAACCAGTATTGTATGCTGCATTTCATCAATTATTGTACAGTTTCTTTCACGCAGCATTGCTGAAAGGACCTCACGTGCATTATAGCCCTATAATCCTTGACAAATCCTCCGCTGAGTGTTACAACGTTCCTCATTTCATACGACAGTACAGTTTTCGTTACATACACACTCCTACGTCCATTTGGGCTGCTGACCAGAAGCATCAGAATCATGTCAAAAGAAAAAGCACTTGTCATTTAATGGCCATCCTTCGGTGGTTAAAATGCCAATAGACAACATTGCTGCAGAATTACAGCATCGTTACAACTGTCAGGGTACTGGTCATTGGCTACGATATCTACTACATATCAGCCACATCATGAAGGAGTGGAAGTTCTTTCCATTGTAGACCTCTATGATTATCAATACAACCTTCATCTCTATTCCCTTCTCCCTAATGTGTTTATCTGGCTTGTCCTTAAATGTACCTATACCATTTTAATAGAAGGGTAGAACAGAACAGAAATTTACTGTGAGGTCACTTTTATATGAAAAATACATTGAAGTTTTATAAGTCGCCCTACCATGGCAGCTGTATTAATGATAGAAGTCAATACACAATACTAAAAAAAGTTTAAGTAAAGTAAAATTAAGATGACTACTTAATATGGTAATGAATTCTATATTCTCACTGATCTCTGGGTAACTTTCTGCTGAATCCCTTATTTGATTTCTCATTGGCTATCCAGTTTGATATGAAAATAGTTAATTATGGGAAACTGCAGCATTCAAGCTGGTTACCATATCCCCCACACAACAACAATAAATGTATGACATGACGGTACTTTAATAATCTGAAAGGGCAAATCAACAGAAGTTTCTTTAACTGTTGGTCAAAAGGAGATGCAACTGCAAGAATTGACAAGCCATCAACATTGAAGAAATGCTGAGATGGAAATGTACTATTGTCAACCATCCTCTGTAATGTAAAGGATCTGAAATTTAAAGATCCGATGGCATTTTCATGGATCACATGACCTGATGCAGTTGAGTCTCCTTTCAAAAGGTTAAACCTGGATGGTCAGATTCCTTCCTTTTTAAACAGCGGAGCTCGTAGGTTTGTGACCTACCTTCATCCTTGGGTCCTAGTTTAAGAGCTATAGCACCAGCTAAAAAAAAACACACAAGAATATTGCACATAGATTGCAACTGTTTGCTTAAGCATTGCACCCCAAACTTCCTTTATGGAAAGTAGCTTCACAAAGAGATGTCTTATGAATTACGGTTAAGAAGGCATATAGGACACTATATGGATAAGATGGGTTGACTTTTCTTGGAGAAGCAGATATTGAGAGGGACCTGATAGAGGTGTACAAAATTATGAAGGGCTCAGGGTGTCTGGGTGGTTCTTCATGGGTTAGTGGCCTCTAGTGGGTCAAATGGCCTCTTTCCTTCTGTTCTGTAGGGTTTCAATAATTCTATAATTGTACCTAAACTTCCTAAACAATTAACTAGGTTGAAAGACCCCTAGAATAAAATGCTTTATCAAGTCCAAGATCCTTTTTTGCCTCCGACACTGAAAACAGAGATCTTCTTCCTGTCACTCTCTTAACTTGGCGAAAATCATTTCCCAGGCTGGAATGCAATGTTAACATGATATCCAAGATAATACAGGCTATTCTGAATCAATTCAAGAGACCAAGGTTCTCAACGCAATTACTTGAGAAAATTAATTCTTCAATTTTATCTCTGCCTGAAAAAGTAAAGAACCTTATCAAAAGTAAGGAAATAAACCAGACAGGTTACTTACTTTACTGTGGAATTCCATCTTTGTTATTAATAGTTTGAGGTAGATACAACTCAGTCTCCCATAACCTTCACTTAAGTGACCCTTTGGGTAGAAAGAAAACAAAAACAGAAATTATAATCCTTAGCAAATGCATCAATGCATTCAAATAAATCTTGTTACAACATACAGGCATAGAACGGAGCCCGCATCTCAAACGGTTATTAGTACAATCAGTAGAAGATGATGGAGTTTTCTATGGACTCATTTCTGATAAAAGGGAATAGATCTAAAATGTTAATTCTGTTTATCCCTCTACAAATGACGCTTGACTGAGTATCTCCAGCATTTTCTGTTTTTGTTCTATCTTAGGCCATGTTGAGTTAACTGATCTCAGCCAGGCTAGTGACTTGCTACCACAGCGGAGAAGGAATTGATGAGCTTTTTACCCCTCAATTGTAATTTACTGAAGCTTTCTATAGTTGAATACATGTAAACATCATGCAAGGAGAGGAACAACCTTGACTACACTGCTGCAATGGACAAATTGCTTGCTAACGGGTTGATTCAAGCACGTTTCAAATTCTGACACCAATGGTAGTTCACTAATTTAACGAATTACCAAAGGCACCTTCCAAACTCTAACACCTAGAAGAATGAGGGAAATAGGTGCATGGGAAACCACCATCTCCTTCAAGCTCACACCTGACTTAGAAACATATGACTGTTACCTCACTGTCCTTCACAAGATCCTGGAACCCCATTCCTAAATACATTCACTCCCTCATGCAACAGCTCTAGAATGCAGCTTACCATCACCTTCTGAAAAACAATTAGCAATGGGCAATAAAAGTTGGCCAAGCAAGGAAATCACACATTCCATGTATAATTTTTTTTAAAAAGTCAGAAACCTAAGCTTTTGCATCTCAGTTCATAGATAAAGAATGGTCACTTCTGCAGGGTCCTGAATCTGTGCTGGTACTCATGAAAGCAAACACCAAAAGTCAGCACTCTGAAGACAGAAAGACATGAAATCTCAGACAAAAGTGGAAAGATGGTCTATTTAATTGCAGTCACTTTGAACAAACAAATAGTTCAGTAGAGTATTACAATCAAGAGCAATAGAACTTTATTGGAACCATTGGAACATTAGCCTTATGGAAATTCCAGGCAAGGTAATTCTGTCAGCCTCCTATTCAGATCTTTTCTAGTCAACCTGTTCAGATGTGTCATTATATACTTAGACAGCGGGCGGGATTGAACCTGGGCCTCCTATTTCCGAGGTTCAGACATTAAGGGGCTCTTATGGTGCAGTGGTAAAGTGACTGTAGCAGGCTCCTATTCAGATGGACAATGATACAATTACTTTCAGGTGAGGACAAAATCAGCCGCTCAATCTAGAGAGAGAACTTGATAGAAAGAGTTGTAGCTAACAGCATACACAGTCAATACTCAACCAATTTGGTCATTTGTCAACCTCAATTTCGGCCAGGTCTTCACTTGCTTAGGCTCTAAGCCTAAGAATTCCCTTCCTTAACTGTCTATCCTCCTTCAAGTCACTCATTAAAGCTCTGCCTCTGACCAACCTTTTGGACAGTTGTCCAAATATATATTTATGTTGAATCAAATCTTGTTTGATACAACTTGGGACATTTTACTGCCTTAAAGAAGTTATATAAATGCAGGTTGAGGTTGTTGTTCAAAAACATTTAAGTATGTTTCAGATGAACACAGACTATTACATATTTCCTTCAGTTCATCCTCAAATTTTCAGAATCTGCGGTATTAACTTTAGGAGATGAAAAGTGTGTTACCAACACATTGAGGAATTATATTATCAGGAAAAATAATCAGAAGCTTTCAGTGGAGAGAGAAGATAGAAAAAGTAGTTAACAGATTATTTGGGTCTGAAGTTTTTGATTTAGCATTATTTCTGACTTCACCAAAAATTTCAAATCTCAGAACTTAACATTATTTCAACTGCATCATTAACACACCTAAAAATCACAGATTGCAAAGAATAGAAGTTATATTTAAGACTGTTACATGGTTACAACAAGCATACTAGGAAAAATCAAGTCTTCAAATTCTGGAAAACCTTTTTGAATATTAACATGTATCTAAAAAAGTTTATCGCAATCTTCAGACCTCCCAATCCAAGTATCTCAAGTTGTCTAATGCAAATTCCTGCCTCTCACTTAATATCATAGCTATACTATCAACAACCTGATCATCGTCTAACATGATCTGAAAAAATGTCTGAGACCTAATAGAATGAGGGAATTGGTGATGGATATATTAATTAAGGGTGATGTATACATTAATTAAGGGTGAATTAGGTTTGTATAAATATGGAGTGGTACCAATCAGTAGGATCAGAGTTTTATCAAATGTGGCTAACTGTAATAACTCTCTTGCATGGAAGTGTGGACTTGAATACTGTTTAAATATAGTTATCATTTGAAATATAACATTTGCAATGTAGCAGAGAATGGCTGAATCAAAACGTAAAGTTTCAAGACACGATTGTCCACGCTGTTATCTTAAAATGAGCCTCATGGCCATTGGAAGAATGAAGTTACAATGTAGACCTGGGTTGCTTCTTTACCAAAGAGGCAGCAAGGTACGGCCAAAGCAGTAAGCCCTTTCAGCAATGAGGCATATGAAATGAGCCATGTAGTAAAGTGGTCCGTAACATTTTACCAAATTGGCCAAACTGCAAATTATCATTTGTACTAGTGTGCATTGTACATGCTAAGAACTTGTTGCAGAT